TATGCTGGCCTTGTATTATGAATTTAGGACTGTTCCCTCTACTTCACTTTTTGGGAAGAGTTTAAGAAGGACTGGTATTGTTCTTAAAATGTTGGTGGAATTCACCAGTGAAGCCATCTAGTCCTGGATTTTTCTTTGTTGGGAGATATGTGGTTCTGAATTAATATCCTTACTTGTTATGGTTTATTCAGATTTTCTATTTCTTGATGATTCAGTCTTTGTGGATTATATGTTTCTAGGAAGTTTTGTTTGGTTTATTTCTAGAAATTTATCCTTTTCTTTCAGGTTATACAATTTGTTGATGTTGTTCATAGAAGTCTCTTATCCTTTTTTTTTTTTTTTTTTAAATCTATTGATTTCAGAGAGGGAGAGAGAGAGAGAGAAACATCAATGTTGAGAGAGTCATTGATCGGCTGCCTCCTGCACACCCCTGACTGGGGATCAAGCCTGCAACCTGGGCATGTGCCCTGACCAGGAATCGAACCCCGATCACCTGGATCCTAGGTCGACGCTCAACCACTGAGCCACGCCTGGCTGGGCTCTTATGATCCTTCGTATTTTTGTGGTTATCAGTTGTAATGTCTCCTTTTTCATTTTTGAGTCTTTCCTTTTTTCTTAATTAGTGTATCTAAAAATATGTCAATTTTGGTTATTTTCAAAAAAAAACAGTTCTTAGTTATGTTGATCTTTTCTGTCATTTTTCTAGCTTCTATTTCATTTATTTCTGCTGTGATTATATTATTTGTTTCCTTCTGCTAACTTTGGGCTTAGTTTTTTCTTCTTTTTCTAGTTCCTTTAGGTATAAAGTTAGGTTGTTAATTTGAGATCTGTGTTATTTCTTAATGTAGGCATTTGTTGCTATAAACTTTCCTCTTGGAATTGCTTTAGAGTTTTGGCATGTTGTATTTCATTTCGTTTGTTTCAAGATTTTTAAAATTTCCCTCTTGGTCTTCTTTGATTGATTTATCATACTATTTTTAAGAGGTTGCTCTCACTTAAAAACAAAACCTAAGTTCTTAGTCTGGTATCCAAGAACCTCCATAGTGTGACTCCAAATGACCACCTGACTTAGAGTTCTAACTTACCTTTCTGTACACTCTGCACTCCAGACAAATAGGTTTATTATGTTAACCTTTTTATGCATTCCTTTTTTTCATGCCTTTTCACAGGCTGTTCCCATTGTCTGTAGTTTCTTTATTTTATTCTGAAGATTTAAGCTCAACTATTCTTCAAGGCCTAGGTTGTATGCCATCTCCTAGTTTGGCCCTTCCTGATCCTCTCTTAAATGCTAATAGTCATTTTCTCCCTTTGTTAGTGATTTTAATGTCTGTGTCTTAACTCCCCTTCTGGAGACCAGGGATCCTTACTGGAGACACATTCCTTGTTGTACTCAGCAGTTTATTCTAAAGCCTGCATTGAGGCATATATATTTAATAACTAGTTGTTAGATGAGTGAATGAATATTGATACTAGGACTGTCAAAGAACTCAGTTAAAAGCTAACATTTGAGTGTGTCTGCTATAGCAGGTACTAAGTGCTTTATATGTAATAACTCATGTAATTCTCATAACAGTCTTTATGAGGTGGCTTCCCTTAACAAGTTCCATATTACAGATAAGGAGACTGAGACAGAGCAGTTAAGTAATCTACTCAAGATCATGTAACCTTTAAGTGGCAAAGCTGAGATTTTGAATCAGGAAGTCAGGTTCTTAACTACAATTTGTTCTGCCATACTAGAGAAAAGCACCGAGAAATAAGGAATGTTCTTATTCGGCTCCCTGACTACCGGAAGCTTTCTAAGCAAGTGACTGCCTGGCCCTGGAGTAGGTTTACCTTCAGTGGGACAGAGTGGAGGCCCTGGATCATGGATCAAGAGCTGAGGTCAGGCCAGAGGGTCACTGCCAAATCTTTGCAATTTAAATGACAACACTTTGAAGCTCTCACCACCCCGGAAAAAAACACACACAAAAAACCTAAGAAAGAAAGAACAAGATTGCAGACTGTTTGCTTTTTAAGAAAATATGTGAATTCTGTTTAGTTTTTGTTAAGTGGGGAGCTTAGCTAGAGTTCTCATAGCAAAAGATTCTGAGAGCAGGCTGAAAACCATGCCGTCCCTCTTATCTAGGAGAGATTAGTCACCCTATAAAATCACATTTGCTGTTATGGAAAGTCAAGGTCGGGCACCGAAGGGCTTGGCTCAGAGTCCACACCAAGCGTGTTGGGATCCCAGCTGCCTGCCTAGTTGGCAGTTCCTGTTCGGGACGATCAGCTGGCCCCAGCATCCCTGTTAACCGGTGGAACCAACCTGACCTTGGGCAGAACAGGCCCTGGCTGGGGCCGCTGCAGTAAAGTAGGGGTTGTAGCTTTATTATTTTTTTTAATCCTCACCCAAGGATATGTTTTCCTTTGCTTTTCAGAGAGAGAGGAAGGGAGAGCGAGAGAGAAACATCGATGTTAGAGGGACACATCGATTGGTTGCCTCCCTCACGCACCCCCACTGGGGCCGGGGATCAAGCCTGCAACCAAGGCGTGTGCCCTTGGCCAGATCGCACCCAGGACCCTTCAGTCCCCGGGCCAGCACTCTAATTACTAAGCCAGACCAGCCAGGGCGGGGGTTGTAACTCTAACTAGCCCTGTCTTAAACAGTATCGCCGATTGCAAGCTCTCTGAATTTACTCCATCCGTGGGCATTTCCAGTGTTGTATGAAACAGTGCAGGTACTGCGTTTCTTCAGGGAATGGGGAGTCATCTTCTCTCTCCCCAGTGATTGGATGATCCCATTTAAATGTATATGCTCCGCAGCTCTTCTGTAACTAGGACCATACAGAAGATCGAGGTTTGACTGCTTTCTGCCACAATAGTTCCCTGGCAGTCTTTCAGAATTTAGTATATGTGATTGGAGTTAACCCATCAGATAAACATATCCTGCTTCTATAGTAAATAATTCCAGACAGATTTTCTAACAGTGCACCTTTCTGCTCTTTCCGCGACATCGTCAGTGCTGGATTGTTCCTGCATTGCCTGACTGTAGTGTATATTATTTAACTGGAGATTTTTTATTATAATTTTATTGTTTTTGTCTTACTAAGAAAACAACACATGCACAGAAGAAAAATATTCCAGTAGTAAAAAATTAGGAAATACAAATAGAAATGAGCAAAAATATTTCTTAAAGTTCTAAAACCCAGAGGTAACTACTTCTAATATCTAATATTTACCTAAATACTTCTCTGATATTCATATAAAATGGAACAATTCTGCAATACTATTTGCCAGCTTTTTTTCACTTGATGGTATATCAAGAACATTTCTGATATAAAATATTTCATGGTATATCGATAGTTGAATTTTTTGAGTAGGTATTATATTCATATGGGTTTTACATATATGAACGGATCAGTGAATTTTGCTCCCACCTCACTTTCCTTCTACCTACTTGTTACCCTCCAATTGCATTGTTCCCCCACAACTTTTACACAAAAGGTAGAAGGATACACTTTTTCACCTTGATTTTCTAACAGTGCACCTTTCTGCTCTTTCCACAACATCGTCAGTGCTGGATCGTTCCTGCATTGCATATTATTTAACCAATCCCTGATTTTAGGAGAAATTTTGTTTTTACATTTAGGCTGTCTCAAATAGCTTTGTAGATGTATCTTTCTATACAATTCATGATTATTTCCTTAGTATAAATCATTTGAAATTCTTTTCTGGGCTGTTGCTTCATGTTTCCAAATTGTTGCTGAAAGGTTATACAATTTATAGCTCTTTTGGCAAGGGACTGCACCAGTTAAAAGGGAAATAAGTTAAAAGGCTGCTTGGGACAGTGAACTTTTGAATATTACATACAAGAAAGAATAGGAACAAAAAGCGATGGTGGGTTGGTATTGTGATGTTCTGGAAGGAGAGGGGCTTGGTGAGAGGTGGTCGGGCATGCCTGAAAGAACATACGAGAACTCGAGTCGGATGTCAGTTCTGGTCTTACCTCTGACATGAGATCTGTGACAAGTCACTAAGATCTTCAAGTCTGTTTTCTCATCATTGAAAAAGGGAGCGATGCTTACTGAGTTTATTTGAGCCACCTTTTATTCCAGAACAGATCCGTGAAGGTGAAACATGAGAGTTTTTTCCAGCTCTAAAATTCTTTAATTAAAAATTTTTAAAAATATATCTTTATTGATTTCAGAGAGAGGAAAGGAGAGGGGGAGAGAGAGACAGAAACACCAATGATGAGAGAGTCATTGATCAAGCCCGCAACCAGGGCATGTGCCCTGACCGGGAATTGAACCCCGATCGCCTGGATCCTAGGTCGACGCTCAACCGCTGAGCCGCGCCTGGCTGGGCAGCTCTAAAATTCTTTAATTTTATAACTAACAGTACCTTCATGTTCACAGGAAGTTAAAAACTGGACTCTCTCTTATCTGGTTGTGGTTTAAAGGGCTAGACCCTCCCTTTCTTAATGCTCTGGGTTACTAATCTCTCTTCATTTCAGAACATGCTAAGCCTGAACTTCTCTATCCACCCCATAGAGCAAGCAGTCTCTTAGCTTCCACAGATATCCTTTCACAAAATTCAGAGTGAACTGGCGAGGGAATGTTAAGTATATGGATCCCTGACTGCATAGTTATAGATAAATATTCTTGAAACCCAGGCATTTATTTTTAGATGATGTAACATGGACGATGTAGATCATGCAACTCCCACAAACAAGGCACTTGGGAGAGTGGTGGCGTAGATTGGGCCCGTTTTGGTGCAGCAATTTAAGCACGGCAGCGAGGGAGAGTAGCTTCAGCGCAGATGCTGCCAGCCCGGCTGTCCTGAAGCAGAGGTCACTCACCAGCCGCCGCTGCGGGCGAGTGTTCAGAGATTGGTCAGCTCAGCATCAAAGCTGTTTGTCATTAGAAGCTTCCCTGACTGTACCAACCGAGAACTTTGGTCATTGAGATAAGATTGGTCAAGAAAAAATTCCATGTCCCGTCATTTCCTTCCTTTCTCTGCAGCAAACAAACTGAAGTGGATTCAGGCATGCAGGACCTGGAGGCATTAATAGACACAATCCAGAAGCAGCTGAAAGATCATCCCTGCAGAGACAACATTCGCGAGGCATTTCAAGTGTATGACAAGGAAGCCACAGGATACGTGGACAAAGAGGCGTTCTTTAACATCTGCGGCTCCCTCAACGTCCCCGTTGATGATTCCTTGATTAAGGAGGTCAGTGTGAGTGCTGCTGCTGGGCAATGCAAGGCTGGGCGCCGCCATTCTATTGCGCTTTAACTGGGAACATCTAGGTCTCCTGCTGGGTCCCGATTCATTGGCGTCTGTTCTCACTGCTGTTGTGAGGCATCTCTGAGTGGTATGGGGCTACACAGCACGGAGAGGCTGGCAAGACCTGTCAGGGCTGCAGGAGGCAGCAAAGGTGGCCCTGGAGGGGCCGCCACCAAGGGAAACTCAGAGCCACTGGACTGAGCAGGTTGGTGGGCAGCCTGTGACTCCCTTCACAGCGCTGAGTACATTAGCCTATCAGGAGGACTAGCATGGAAGAAGGTGGGACTGCTGCCCAGGGACAGTGGTGTCTGTCAGTAGGGGTCGCATGGCGACATGGACATTCTCCTCGTAGAATTTTCGCAAGTTGAAGAGGGCATTTCATGCCTTTTTCTCATTATAAACCCCTTTGGCCAGGGTTCCCTAGAAGGCAGACAATATTTCTCCCACCTTGCCAATGACTGTGACTTGTTGAGATGTTCTCATTGATTAAAAACACAGATGACCTTAAAGATTTTTTAGCAAAAAGGAATGTTCAGAGTTAAGATTCACTTAGGGGAGGCTTTTTAGGGCTAGAGTGACTAGGTTGGAGACAAGGATATTTTATAGACAGGGACATTAGCAAGGAGTGGAGGAGGTGGGGAGAAGGGTATTTGTTCACATAGGCCAAAGCTTCCCAAATCTCAGACTGACAGCGTGCCCAGACTTTAAGTCGTGTGTACTATGTGTGAGCTAACATAAGAGACAGGAATTGCAGTCAGTGCAAGTGGGACAGGGAAGCTGGGTGGGAAGGATCTGCACGTGTCTTATGGAGGTAACCACAGTAAATCAGTCTACTACCACTCACAACTGAGCTTCAAGGGACATGGTTTGGGCAGTGACATAACTGGATTCTATTAGACTGCGACAACAGCAACCTGCACAGGCGGGGTGGACTAAGTCTTGTATTGAATATAGAAATAATTAAAAGTGCTTTTTTTAAAAAAAAAAAAAAAATTGAAAATGACAGTGCCCTTATAAATGCAAATGTTAGTCCTGACATCTTGGGCAGGCCATTTACTACATCTGAGGTTTGATTTTATTAACTATGAGAGGGGATACTATCTGACCTATCTGCTGGATCACTTCAGAAGCAGCAGAGGGTATAAAAACTCTGAACCCATTTGCAAAGGCAGGATCAGTGTTGACACGCTCACTGCGGTAATGCTGCGGGCAGCCCCCACGTACGCCCCACCTACTCTCTCTGCTGTCCCCTGCAGTTAATCAGGATGTGCTCGCACGGAGAAGACAAGATCAACTACTACAACTTTGTTCGTGCTTTCTCCACCTGACCTGGCCGAGGAGAGGCTGCAGTGCGGGATTTTGAGGTTGGACCTAGACCTACAATTTGAAATATACCTTGTACTCTTCTTCATAGAGGCATTTACAGAGTTCCTGAGCTCCTGAAAGTATATATTTTTTTCTTTCTTTTCTTTCTTCTTTCTTTCCTTTCTTGTTCTTATATTTCTCTACTTCTGAAGGTTAAGTTAAATTGGATCTTGTAAGAGCTAAGATTGGTGCCTTATTGAGGGAGGTAGAGGTAAGAGTGTTGTGATGGTTAATTTTGTGTGTCAAGTTGACTGGGCCTTGGGGTACCTAGACATTTGGTCAAACCTTATTTCTGGGTGTCTATGAGGGTATTTCTGGATGCGGTTATTGTTTGAATTGGTGGGCTGAGTAAAGCAGACTGCCCTCCCCAATGTGGGTGGGCCTCACCCAGCTCATTCAAGGCCTAAGTAGAACAAAAAGGCTGCCCCTGCCCCAAATAAGAGTGAATTCCCCCTGCATGCCTTCAGACTGCGACATCAGCTTTCTCCTGCCTCTGACTCAGACTGCAGTATTAGCTCTTCCTGGGTCTAAGCATGTGGCCTTCAACTGGAACCGCACCATGGTCTCACGGGTCTCCTCCTGCTTGCTGACTTGTCTATCTTCATAATCACGTGAACCATTCCTTATAATAAATCTCGTTCTCTCTCTATACATATCCTGTTGTTTCTGTTTCTCTGGAGAACCCTGCCCAGTAGAAGTGTACAGTGATTAAGAGCAGAGGAAAGGATAGAATTTGCTAGGAGAAGCATCTTTTGGGGTTTTGGAAATAAGCATACAGTGCTGGTATTGCTGCTTAGCCAGTGCCTGCTCATCCCAGGATTATAGGGAAATACAACACATGTTTCAAACTGTGGTTCTAGGTTCATTAGTAGACCTGCATTTTTAAAAAAATGAAAGAATAGAAAACATCAAAGTGTGGTACACATAGCAAGGTATGTACTATTTTATGAAACTTCCATTTCAATGGAGTGTGTATTTACTGGGTCATTATGTAAAGTGTATTTCTTGATGTGGTTTGTAGTAAAAAAAAAAAAGAAAATCCAGAAAAACTCTGCATTTAGAGAGGCTGCCTTGAGATAGAAGGAAAAGACCAGTCACAGGTACTGGTTTTCTAAGGGCACGGACGGATTTTGTAGAATCAGAGCTGCTCCTTAAAGTCAGCCACCAGCTTCCTCCCTGCTACCTAAAAAATAGTATAAAAGAGGACGGAGTTTTGTACAATTGAGGATGCCTGGCCCTCTCTGAACTAGTGGGGAACTTCCCTTGTTTTCTCTCCTAATGAGCCAAACCACCTCTAACCAGCCTGATAAAAGGGCTATAAATGTTTTGTCGACTCCAGGTTACCTTTAGAAGAATCCATGTTTTGTTTTGTTTCCACCAGCCACTCATAACTATTAAAAAAGTCTAATTTTCAAGTATTTAAAAATCCAATTCAGTCTAAAATAAAAACCCGAAGCTCTAACCTGCCTGCCCCAGCTCAGTCCTGTGCCAGGCTTGGAAGCTGGTTGGGGGGGGGGG